AAATTAAAAAAAAATTTGGCATGACCCCTCTCCTTTTTGAGCTTTTTGGGATCAAACTTACCTCTTTCTGCTTCTGCTACGGCTTCTGGTCCAGTCTGAAATCTGTTTCTTCTTTCTATTTCAATGTGTCTCTGTGTTTCTGTTTTGATTTCAATGTGTCCAATCGTCATCAACCCCTGGTACCGAATGGTTTGATAGCCTCATCTATCAACCAACCCAAATGAAAACTACGATGAACATCAGTTAAATAAGAAGCGCATACCATAGTAGGGAAGAGCGTAAGGAGCCAATTCAAGTGAGTATAAACATGGAAGTATCAATTGAAACACAACAGGTGACGAAGAAAGTTTTTGGTCGAAAGAAGATTCCAGAAAAAAAACTTTTCTGCTGATCCACGAAATCTCAAGCGCATACCATATTACGATAGAGAACCGGAAGCTGATTCAAATGAGTATAAACATGAATATGTGAATTAGGAAACAAGGCTCAACGAGGGCAAAAAAAAAATTTTTGGTTGCGCTGAGATAAAAACTTTTTGGGAAAAAAAATTTTCCTGTGATCGACAAAATGCTCAGCGCATACCATAATGAGAAAAAGAATGAAAAAATGAATGGAATGAGCATAAACATGAATCTATCAATAGAGAAACCAGACACGACTTCGGAAAAAAAAAGTTTCGATCGAGCTATCAGGAGAGGACTTCGGAAAAATAACTTTTGCTCACCTCTTACTAAATCTCATCTCAAAACTCAGACACGACAAAAGAACGAACAAAACAATGAAAAGAGAAACAATCTTCTTCAAAGAAGAGGAGACATTCTTTCTGTTCTGTTACGATGAGAACAGAGCCGAAGGTATCATAAGGACAAGAGAAAAAAGAATGAAAGCTATCTGCCAATCAAGAGAAAACAGTCGAGGAACAGAGCGAGCAGTAAGAAGATTAACTGTCCTGATCATGAAATCGAAAAACAGGGCACCGGAGGAAACACAAGTCACATCACAAAACATATTCATTATAGGAAGGAGGAAAGTGAAGATTGAGTACAAAATGTGTGGAAACGAAGATTCGAAAGGGTGATCAAGTGAGTATAAGGAATCGAAATCGCAGTAAAGACAGAGCTAACGAACCAACAACGACATTGTAAGGCTAGACCGATACAAACTCTGTCACAAACATTATAAATGATTGACAGTGATTTCTTCTCATCAAATAGATTCCCGGCTCCAAGAATTCGCGAGAGCAGCTAAGACTCACTTCATCCAGGTATCGAGTCAGAAATATCAGAAATAACGAAACGACGAGGTATATGGGACACTCGTTTGAAATCCAAGAAGACAATGATGATACGAGTCACCTCCGAGTATGAAACCAAGAAAACCTCACTTAACTCTAAGTAATAGAATCTGTGATAGCTAGCTGCCATCCATGAAAGCACAAAATTAGAATAAAAGTGAAGCCCAAGATATAAAATTGAAGAAAAATATTGAATTTTTATTAAAAACCGAGAATATTAGTAATCAGTCGAGAATTTTTTCGAAAACTATTGGAGCTCGTGTCAGGACCAATTGGCGCAAAACAAAAAAAAATCGAACTTAAGAGATCTGAGTGTCATAATCATGCCTCCCCCTAGAGATCTGACCATTTAAGGTCCGAAAAAAATAAAAAATGTTTGATCTTAACAAACGTTGCGCCGTACATCAGGACAGTAGAGGGTTTAAACGTGATATTGGTATTTCGACAAATGAACTGTTTCGTTTCTCTGTCAACTTTTATTGATAAACTGGATTTGATATTTCATATCAGATGTGCATTACTACAACAGGGTTGCTGGAGATTACCATACTACTGCTATGGTTCTGATCGGAAAGACCACTTTCATTCACTAATTTTCGATTTTTTAGAATTTTCATTTCAGATCTGAATGTTTATTCACAGTTGGCTTATATAGAATTCCATGCAGTTTCTAATTTGCTTTTTATAGTTTTCATCTGATCGGAGCTCATCACTTCGGACACTTTAGAAGACAACATCTCGCTCATTGTTTTCTTATCGCTGGTGTTTGTCAAATTTTTTGGAAGTGAAGGTGCGTCGTGAGTGGGCGCTCGACTTTTGAACAAATTTATAAGAGTTTGCAAGGGGTTGTCTTGAGGTTGTATCTTAAACGAAAATTGTATTCTCATGCAATGCATTAACAAACCTGAAGGACGTCTTGAACCAACGCCTTAAGATCACTCGTTTTGTTTTGCTCAGCCAACTCCACCATTCTATCATAATATGGGTCCAGCCGGGCGGGCATTGAGAAGTTGCGGAATCTCTTAGAAATGTCCGTCAGATCATTTAAAGGTGAAGCAGGAAGAACTGTCGTTCCTAAATAGACCAACAACCGTGCCATTAAGCTAAAATGTATTAACCTTCTGAACCAGGATTGACCCAAGTATGGTTTCTAGGGAACCAAGGAAACTTCGATACAGAGCGATTGAAAGCAGGGAAGTTCCCAAATCCGTCCGGAGAATGTAGTGAGTTGAATGTTTTTGGTTTTGTCAACGCAGCAAGGAGCGTTGCATTGATTCCTCCAGCACTTAGTTTCTCCGACATATTCAATCTAGCTTGTTCTAATTTATCCTGAACTGCTTCATACTGTTCTGCAGGTATTTCGGAAGAGAGGAGAGCAAACTGATAGTTGAGATCCTAGAATTTGATTTCTGATTGTGTTCAAAGCTTATTGCTTGACTAACTTGTAAACTACCAGTTGTTCTCTCATCTGTGAGTTGGGGGAAGCCGTCTCGTATCGTCTG